GTTTCACACTGTCCTCATGATACTGCTCTAAATTCTCCCGCCCAGAACGTCCTCCTACATCTCTTCCTGAGAACACTTTAGCATTAATTGTGAATTGGAAAGACCTCCAAGGCTCCAAACATGAGCCCCACATTGAGCTTTTCGGCAGCTGTCTTTGCTGTGGTTGGTCCCCACTGTCCATGACACAAGACTTCACCCAGTAACCAGTTCCTCAGTGAGGCCCATGTACCAAGCATGTGAGGACGGAGGGAGTGCAGGGGAAAGAGGCCAGCTGCCCCTCAGGGGAGCTGGCTCATCTTGCCCTCCAGGACACCAGGGTGAAGCAAGATACATCCTCTGAAAATTTTTCCAGTCAAGATCAGGATCAAGGGCTGCCTCAGCTTCCCAATCCACCCACCTAATTGAGAAAAATGGCCAAGAGGCTAGCTCCACTAGGGGGTCCTCTGACCTCCATTTTACTGTCTTGCAGTCCTCAGCTAGAACTCAATCCCCTGTGTGCACCATGCAAAGACACAGAAAGCATGTCCTTGTCCCTGATCTCAGCCAAAGGTGGGACAAGATCAGCTTGCAAGGCAGTCCCCATGACACAGATCTGCCTGCCATGGCCATCTTTCTACCCAGTCCCCTCCCCAGGCTCTGTCCTCACCGACCCCAGGAGGGGTCTAGCTGCCTGGTCCCCACTTGCTTCTTGGAATTCATTCCTTGCTTGGTTGTGGGCTGCTAGTCTTTTTTACCTAGTTCTCCTCCTGCCTCTCACATAGAGGCATCTCTGCCCCTCTTTGTCCTCAAATACTGCACCTCTCCCTTTAGACCCTTTTGTCTCACTCTATCTGCTGATGATGACTATTTTCCACTCCCTGTTGCCAAATCCACTCTCCATGCCACTGTGGAAGACTGGCCTCCACAGACTGCCTGACCACCTCCCTTGTCCTCTGGCCTCCAGCTGGGGTCAGTCAATGAGAGACCTTGGCAGATCAGAGGCCAAGGGGACAGCATGTGGGGTACTGATGATCCCCTCCTCCTTGCCCCCTTCATGGTCTTGCTGAGATTCTGGGGGCTGTCATATTCTCCTGGTCCCTATTCGTGTCCTCAGCAGCTGCAGGCTCTGGGTCACACCATCCCCTCTCCTTGGTCTCTTTAGTCCTGGGGTGGAATGGCTCCTCCTGTTGTTTTCCGGGTTTTTCATCTGGGTGAGCACTTCTTCCAATGCTCTCCTTTTCACTGTTCTGCATTTATCCCAGGTTTCTTGCCAGGCCCCAGGACATGCAGCCCCTCCTTGTGCCTCCCTGCCCATTCTTATCTGTAACTGCATTCAAAATCCCCTGAACTCTCTGGTTCTGCTGTTGACTCAGCCCAACAAGATGGCTCTCATTCAAAGGCTTTCTCATCTGCTGTCCTGACAGTGCTCCAGGATCTCACCTGGGGCATTCACCTTGGGCCTTCCCACATGGTCAGGGATTTCTCACAGTTCCATGGGCAGGAGTCCCCGGAGCACATGGGAGCTCCATTGTCTTTTAGAGACTGGTGTTTGGAAAGTCACACAGCAGTTATTTCTGTTGCATTGTGTTCATTAGAAGCCAGTCACTAAGACAAGTCTATTCATATTCAAGAACAGAATTCGACTCCACCTCCTGAGGGGAATGTCAACTCCTGGTACCTTCTCCTGCAATCGCAGTGGACTCTACAAACCCCTGTAGATTCCACACCCACTGGGTGTCAGGTCCTATGGACTTACTTCCCAAATATCTCAGCTCCTCTCTGTTCCTCCTGCCACCGCTAGAGTGGGCCTCCACTGTCTCCTTAGGATAGCTGCCAACCTCCTTCCTCATTCCAGGGGTTACTCCAGCCACCACTGAGATGCACCTTACAGTCCAGCACTCTGCTGCTTAGGAATCTGAGGACCAGAGAGGTAAACGGACTTGCTCAAAACCAAACAGCAAACTGGAAACAGAGGCCCTCCCTTTTAGAGGAGAGATGTCTAGTGGTTCTTGGAAGGCATTCTCCTTCTGGGGGCCAGGCACAGTCTCTAAGCCTCTTCATTCCAGTTATGAAACATGGTCTTCATCACTAGATCTTGCAAAGAAACTGATGTTAGAAAAATAAAAGGCTACTTTATTATTTTCTTTATTCTAAATTACCATTTAAATAAACATTTCCAGATTTCTGGGCATCATCAGATCATGAAGGAACTATTCTTGCTCTTAAGGAACTTCCATTCTAAAATTATACAAGACACAGAAGAGATAGACACAGGGAGAGACACTATGCTTTTCTTTTTTTGGTAAGGGCTGGGGGAAGTGCAGAGAAGGGAGAGAAAATAGAAAAGGATAGAGAACCATGGGCACTGTTTGGTGGATGGAAATAGCCTGAGAGTCAGCAAAGAACTTGATGGGATCTGTCCCCAGGAAGAAGGAATTTCGAAGCTGCGGCAACTATTTATTTATTTTTGCATATGGAATCTGCCATTTTATGCAACTGATAAAATCAAGGACAATTAGACCAAATTGAGCTTTAATTTTGGATTGAAAATGTAATTCTTCCACTGAGAACTCCCTCCCACAACATCTGAAATTACTAACTAGCTGCAGAAGGCACCCAGAGCCATCAGCCTAGATAAGACTGAGTTTATTGCTTGTCAAAAATGAAGACACTGATAAGATCCAGTGAGCTCCTGCAGGGCATTAGAAAGTCTAGACAAGATGCAGATTAAGGATGCACTCCAGGGAGTATTATTTAAAGCAGTTGCTTATTTACAGTCGGCTCAACTTAAGGACTAAGAAAGAAAAAGTAACCTCAGCACCCCTGAGGCTGCTGTGCTGTTGGTTGTGGGTTATCCAGTCAAGAGCTAGATTTTTCCTTACAACTTCATTCTCCAAAATGTGCTAAACTTCCCCTTAGCTTAAAAAAAAAAAAAAAAAAAAAAGCCAAATTCTACTACTTCTTTTCTCCAAATCTCTGTCCTTTATCAGTCTGGTCCGTAACAGCACAGCACCAAAGTTTAAAGCTCTGACTTTCCGAGGCCAGACAGATCTTCGGTGTGACCCTTTCTTACCTGCTCAACTCCCAATGACCTGGACAAGCAAGTTCTCCTTGGGATTCAAGGCTGAGTGCCAACAGCTGCCACAACATCTGTATCCCAGCTGCTGATGGGATTGGAGGTTGGCTCAGATTTGAAGTTCAAAAAATGTTGAACTTTATCATTATCGTTATTATTATCCTCACTTATTACCAAAATGCCTGGACATAAATTCTTTAAATAACAAAGGGCTTAAGTTGTTTTTCAGGAAGACTCCAGTATTCACTCAAGGATGGTTTGAAGCCAGCTTTACAAGAATGGAAGAAGCCAGTTTTTCTAGCCACTGACATTTATTTATTTATTTATTTATTTATTTATTTATTTATTTATTCTAATATGGATAGGTAAAGAAGAACTCAAATTAGCACTATTTGTCGACTTTATGATTCTATACCTAGAAGACCCAAAAAATCCTCCAGAAAACTTCTAGAACTAGTAAATGAATTCAGCAAAGTAGCAGGATAATTTGTTATACATGACATCAGAATGCATTTAAATTCATAGTACACATATGAAGCACAATTTTTCATTTCTCTGGTTGTTCAGAGTCATACCATTCATCTCTTCATACATGTACTTAGGGCAATGATGTCCATCTCATTCCACCATCTTTCCTTCCCTCATGCCCGCTCTCTTCCCCTTCTTCCCCTTTGCCCTATCCAAAATTCCTCCATTCCTCTCATGCTCCCTCCCCACACCTATTATAGGTCAGCATCCACTTATCAGAGAAAACATTCAGCCTTCGATTTGGGGGGATTGGCTTACTTCACTTAGCATGATATTCTCCAACTCCATCCATTTACATGCAAATGCCATGATTTTCTTTTCTTTTAATGCTGAGGAATATTCCATTGTGTATACATACCACAGTGATGTCACAAGTTCAACCCCCCATCCCCACCCCGTGCAGAACATAAGTCCCCCTGGAGAGACCCTGGGACCTGTGAAGAGGCATGGTAGCCAGCTACCCCTGTACAAGGGAACTCAAACTCCTCCTTCTTGCCGTCAGATCATCTCACAGCTTCTCCCCCTCTTTCTACAAATTCCCCCCAAACCAACTGATCAGGGAGGCAGATGTGAAGGTTTTTTGTTTTTGTTTTATGCTCCTATCTTCCTTGCTGTTTAACCTTGCAATAAAACTTTCATTTTGCAAAAACGAGCACCATGGTATTGACTTCTGTGCATGTTGGCAGTTTCCCTTGCTTGGTAGCATTGCTATAACCATATGGCCTATCACACCTCTAGGCCCCTTTCTCCCAGCACCAGCTGCTGACAATTTTCCTCCCCTTTCTTGGCCAGACTTCTGTTGGGAAGCTTAGATGCCTGGGCCAATTTTGATTTTCTTACTGCAAGGACTGTGGGACTCTGCATCACTTTCTTGCTTGTCCCCTTGACCAGAGAGAGAAGAAAAGGAAACTTTTCTGAAGAGCAGGGTGGTGAGCTCCAGCTAAGATCAGAGAGAGGCAAGGACAGAGTTCATCTCAGGTCTTTATCCTTCAGAAAGCAAAATCCAAGTTGGCGGGTCAGGGGCTGCCTGATGAAAGAGACTGCTTTCCCTTGAAGGAATTTGGCTCAGGCAGAATATGGGGACTGTTCAACAAGAGACCATGCAGAGGATGGTTGCTGGCATGGCGGGAGAGAGACCCTCCCAGGCTTCACCTCTGTGCTCATGGAGTCGTGTCTGGGCTCCAACTAACATGGCAGAACCTGGTATCATGGGCCTTTCCCCTGGTCCTTCTGAAATTTCTTTGATTCCCCTTTCCGTGTGAAACTTGGATTTGTCTCTTTTTTGTGGAGTAGGAGAGGCAGAAGTTGAGTGAGACTTTGGTATGGAGGGGCCTTGCTGGAGAAGGGGAACTCAAGGAGAGAAGGAAAGGAAAACAAAATGAAGGCTTTGCTCTTGTCTTTTTGCCACTTCCTGCAGGAGTCATGGCCACCTGTGCAACATGTGGGTACAGCTCCTGCCCCCAAGGGAAAGAAGTGACCAGGGAAGAACTGGAGAGTTACCAGAAGGTCAGGACAGACTTCCTAGACCAGGAAGGGTCCAGACTAGGAGTTAACAGGTAAGTCTGCAGGACGTAGGGGTTAGCTAGATCATGGGTTGTTTTGTTTGTTTGTTTTTGTTGTTATTTTTAATCAAAGTTAGCCCGTGTGCCAAGGTTAAAATAGACAAACGTGGCCACCAAGTATATAATAGAAAATATTGTCCCTGCCCATCTCCCTCCCTCCTGATTTTTATTCCTCATAGATCCTCTGGTATTTACCTCTGTATACTTAGAAAGCTCTTTCTTTTTATTATTTCTTATCTATTATTTTGAAAGACTATATATATATTTTTTTTGGAAAAATGTATTCTATAAAAATATATGTAAATATACATTATAGAAGATATACATATAGTTGCCCCCTCTCCACTTTCTCAGTAATCACTGTTTTCAATTAAATCAGTGATTAGTTTAGTGTTTGCAGCAGAGTTGAGCCCCCTCATGTATTAGAGAAACACCTTAATTTTGTTCCCTTTGTTTTCTTGGCGTTAGTACTGCAATTGTCAGTTGGCTTGTTTTTCCATGTAGCTGTTACTGATTCACTCACAACTCCTCCAGCTGAGCCCCATCTCCTTCCACAGGGTCCAGCAGAGCCAGCCTTGAGTCCCTTTGCCTCAGAGGCCCTTTTAGGGAACATTTGAAGACCCTGCTTCCTCATGTACAAGGGGCCATGCAAAACTTTTTTATTTAACTAGAATGATCTGGGTGCTTTCCTTTAGTTGCATCGGAAGCTACTTTTAACACACGCCTCAGCTTTCTGAGGGAGCAAAATCGAATCCCCTCTCTGGCTTCAAAGCCACTGCCACCTCTATTTGCCAGTCTGATTTATACAATGGCATACAAGAAAATGCAGCTGGTATTCCTTCCAGGTGCACAGTAATTTAACTCAGTGCTATCAAAGCCATTCCAAGTAAAAAGGCCTCCTGGGCTTGTTTTAATGAATAGATAAAGATAATTTGTAATTAGTACATTTAGTTGTTAATATGCAAATTAGGCCTGCTGTTATCTGTAATTAGCACCAAATTCTTGATTGCTAAGGATACTGCTAAAATACTCAGGAAAGCCTGTAATCCTCACCCAAGACCAGGACTCTCCCAGAACTCTCCTCCAGCCTCCAGCAGGGTTCCCATCCCACTGCACGCCCTTCCCAGGCGTCCCTGCCTGCTGGATCTCCCCTCTCCATGTTCTAGAAGCACCTGGAACTAGTGTACAACTGAACTCAAGTTCTGTTCCCTTCCTATACTTGTAGCACCTTGTAGGAAATTAGGAAATCCTCTCCTCAGCTGCTACCTGTCTCCCCTTCTTCCTCTCCTCCTCTAGCAACGTCCCTATCGCAGGGCTATACCACCCTGGTGCAGTCACCCCACTGCAACCTGGGCCTCCTCCAGAACTCTCTGCTTCCCCCTCCCTCTTCACCTACATCCTACCTGTTCTCCATGTTGTGACTGCTCCCTCCCCCACCCCACCTCTAAGGCCACACTACCTCTTCCTGGGAGCCCTGCAGTGGCTACCTCCTCATCTCAGAGGGTCCTTCTATTTCTCATGTTGCAGCCGGTGTGGTTTTACCCAACCACCTCTTCAGTTTACATCTTGCAGGTCTCAGTTTCGACATGGTGTCCACTGGGAAGATATCCAAGATCCCAAATTCCCCACGTCTGACATAGTGCCCTGTGCCACTTGCTCAGCTCGTCACACTCATGCCCTCCTGTAGTACAGGCCTGTTGATTTGACTGCTTCACTCCTTAAGAACAGGGCTGGCTATCCTCATCAACTGACGAACACAGTAGGCCATTGTTTTGGTCAACATTTTTATTGCTGTAACTAAAAGAGGAGAAAAAAAATTTATTTGAGGGCTCAAGGTTTCAGAGATCTCAGTCAATAGACAACAGGTTCCATTTCTCAGGGCTTGAGGTGAGGCAGAACATCAAGGCAGAAGAGTGGTAGAAGGAATCAGCTCACATAATGATCAGAAAGCAGAGAGAGACTAAGCTCAACTCCCCAAATATATACCCCAAAGGCATGCCCCCAATGAACTACTTCTTTCAGCCAAACTCTACCCACCTTCAGGTACCACTCGGTTAATCCCATCAGAGGATTAATGCACTAATTGGGTTAAGGCTCTCCTAACTCAATCATGTCACCTCTGAATGTTCTTGCATAGTCTCACACGTGAGCTTTTGGGGGACACGTCACATCGAAACCATAAAAGCCATCAACAAATGCTTGTCAAAAAAAAAGGCTGAGTCTCAGATTTTTAAAAGTTCTCCACCAGTTCTTGGTACTTGATGAATATTAATGGCAAACTGCATGCAAGGGTAACCTTTGTCTTAACTGAGCAATTGATGGTGATTTTAGAATGAGGAAGGCCTAAATGAGTTATTCTCTCTAGTTTTATTGCTGCTCTCAATGCATACTGGTGCACACTGTTCACCCAAGGAGGGCTAGGTAGCCCTGCCCTGGGCCTCAGGGGTCCAGAACCTTCCCATCCCTAGGCTGTGGCTCCTCAAACAGCAGGCTCTCCTGTCTGGCCTGGGTGGCTTCTTTGATCTGGGTAGGGTCCGGCTCCAGGAAGCCGAGGCAGGCCCCTCCTGCTCTGGCCACATTGTGTATGAGTCTCTCGACTCTGTCTCCCACATCTGCAGCCACTGGCCCCAAATGCAGATTAAGTCTTTTGATGGCAGGCTCTAAAAACACAAGGAAGATTTTCTCTTTGGTAGGAACATTTGAAATAACATCTTTTCAAGTGTGTCGAAGATCAGAATATGAATAGGATGGGGGAGTGGTAGGAAGGGGCTGAGGAGGAGGGGCCCACAGCAGCTTGGACCACGCTGAAAGGGGCGGCAGTGATGCTCGCTTTCTTTTCTCTACAAAATGACAGAATTGCTGTGGGGACATTTACAGCCAGAATTTCTTTGACATTTTTAAATCTCTGAAATCATCAAGAATAAAACAGTGTACCATGTGCGTTGGCAAAGGAAATGCTTTATGTCATGGGGTTGTTTAAAAGACACCAGAGGGGCCTGATAGCTTAGTCAAGTCTGTTGGCCGAGTTTGGGGTAATGAAGCATTAGTTGTAGTTTTCTAGGCAGCGCTTACTTGGTGTGAAACCAGGTAGAGAGAACAAGTCACTCTGCAGGCCCACATCGCCCTTTTGTAAGAGAGGAAAGAATAGAAGTGGAAACATCCGAGGTACTCAAGAGAAAGATGCATTCACTGAATTAAACCGGCCTTCACAGTTGAGGCTTAGATGTGGGTGCTACACAGGGCTTACCCCTGTGGATCTAGCAAATTCTAGATGCCTTAGTTTCTTGTTCAGAGGGCGAGGAATGGAGCCCAACAATTCTTGGAGGGTCCTGGATTCTCAATTCCTCCTCTTGCTCCTCAGCCCCAGGATCTGACTTGTTAGCCAAAACTCATGAAAAATTACTTTGCCCAGAAGTCAAAGAAATGGTGACCATGGGGCTGGAGATGTGGCTCAAGCTGTAGCGCGCTTGCCTGGCATGCGTGCGGCCTGGGTTCAACCCTCAGCACCACATACCAACAAAGATGTTATGTCTACCGAGAACTAAAAAATAAATATTAAAAAATTCTCTCTCTCTCTCTCTCTCTCTAAAAAAAAAAAGAAAGAAAGAAAGAAATGGTGACCCTGAGGGTCCAGTGAAGAGTTGAGTTAGCTCTCCTGAAAAGTCACTTGGCCACCTCTATATAAATCATATCCTTTCCCCATTCATGCTTCACCTGAGATTTCATAATGACACCACTTTCCACAGCTTTTGCCCAATTAATGTCTTTGGGGATCCAGTGCAATGCCACAACCCAGCAGCACCCCCAGCACTGAGATACAATTCCCAGCAAAGATGCCTGACAACAGGGGGAAGCTTCAATGTTGCAAGTTATGCTATTTTCTGAGCAGAAAGAGCAAAAATGAGGGAGAAAGGGGGCCTGGGTCTTGTGACCATCTCAGAAAATGGACTGATGGAGCCTGAAACAGACTTCCTGGCATAGCTTGACTCTGGACTGGGCCTTCCAGGAAACCCAGGATATAACTGGGCTGGTTCCAAGGATGCAAACCAGTGATACTGGACTCTCTACAACTTTCTATTAACAGAAGCATGGGATCCATCGCAGCAGTGTAACCCTGTCCCACATGTAGGTTGATCACTGAACTTGGGAAAAAGGAGTCAGCTTGGGACTGACATTTCTTCTCCATCATCTTTGCAAATACACCCAGAAATGTTCGGCAACTTGTTAGGTGCCAAGAATGAGGGGGTCTCCTGACCAAAACTTACTCCATGGCAGCAGTCCACCACAGCTCCACACTGATTCTCCAACTCCAAAATTGTACAAAAAGTTGTTTCTAGATTCTGAAACTTTTTAGATTGTAGCAACTTTGAGTATTAACTAGGCAGAAGCTGTGGACTCTCATTTAAGAAAAATTCTGCCTATAATTTCCTTTGAAATCAGGAACTTTTGGAGCTTATATATAGTTTCCAGGTAAGAGCCTGGCTTAGGAGTTGACCAACAAAAGTCTCTTCAAGAGGAAGATTCTTTACCATGGTGTGTAAATTATTTTCTCCCTGAATATATTGTAAATGACCAGTTTTACCAACATTTAAACTAGTTTCTCCTTTTCTAGGAAGTCTATGCTGATGAAAAGAGTGAGTTGGAGGGCATCACTGGGAAGTGTGTCTCTTGACCCTGATGCTCTTTCTGAGCAGTGTTTGTCTAGCCCATGGTTAATGACAATGTCAGTGATGACACTGCCCATGTCCCGACATGCTGTGAGTTATTGCCAAGTAGCTGGGTGGTGATTTTTGGTGACCAAGGCATACCTGCCTGCCCCTTGAACAATTCTCTGGCAGTCAGGGCTCTTTCTGTCTATGTGGTTGCCACCCTTTTCTCTCTAACCCCCCAAAGATTCTAGCTGGGTTGGCAGAAGTGCTGGGGCCACATTTTTCCAGGGGCCACTGAAACAGAGGAAGCTGCTGGCCAGTGTCAGCTTTCTCCTGGAAGAGCTG